AGCAGCTGCTGTAAATCAGATTACAGCGCTCAAAAACCCTCTGCCTCCACTGCTTTAATACTTCTCTCCCAGTGGAGGGCCTGAAATCACCTCCTGAAGCAGGTTTTAAGGCCAATGTTTTTGAATTAGGCCTCTACAAAAGCACATTGATGGCCGGTGTCTGGGCCCATTGTTGGCTGCAACAAAAGTTCTTTTTATTTCCGCAGCTCTCCCTAATTCCCCGGGAGCTGGCGGGCTGGCAGGGAGCACTTACTGCAAAAGGAAACGGATCACGCGAGGCTGAGCCTGATGGATCCCCACGGGGTGGCCGAGCGCTTTGAGTCAGATGATCTCCCAGTCTGGGCTGTTTCTTGCTTTAAGGAGCTTAAAGGTTCCCCTTGGAAGAGGACTTGGGGGCCGTTGCCCAAATTTTACCCCTCTGCAGTGCCGTGAGTGGCACCGACGTAGCCGGCTGGGGTCATGTTTGGGGGTGGCCTCTCGGGACGTCTTTGTGCTCTATTTGCAGACAACCACGACATCATCTCGCTGAAGCTTTTCCAGCTGACGGTGGAGCGGACGCTGGAGGAGGAGAAGCGCGACAGGGAGGTCTTCCTGCCCGTGGTGGACAACCTGAAGCTGCCGGGATGTGAGTAGGATCCGTGGGATGCCCCGTGTAGCTTGTCCTCGGAGCTGGTGGAGGCCAGACCCTGCCGGACTGGGGTCTCGCAAACTGTTTCTCTCCTGCAGTGGAGGCCCCCCTGGAACCCATGAGCGGCCTGGCTCTCTTTCTGATCGTCTTCTTCTCCCTCGTCGCCTTGGTTTTTGCCATCGTCATTGGCGTCATCGTCTACAACAAGTGGCAGGAGCAGAGCCGGAAACACTTTTATTGACTCGGGAAGCTGCCCGGGATGGGCCGTGGTTAATCCCGGCTCCCGCCGTCCCAGACTGACACAGTGCGATGGACCCAGCGGGGACCCTCGTGTCCAGCGGGGGCGGCTGCTGTTTCTTGTCGGGCTCCGGGCCTCCCGCGCCGCTCCCTGTGGGAACGGAGATCCCGGGTCAGCGTGCGGCGGACCCAGTGTGTCCCCCTTGGAGTGGGCTGTTTGCTTAGGGAGTCGTTCTGGGGGCTGGCCGGGCTCTGGGGCAGCACCCAGGAGCTTCCCTGCGCTCCGGGGAAACAGAACGTGGGGAGAAACTGCCACCTTGGCTGTAAAATCCTGCCCGAGAGCGATCCCGGCTGCCCGGAGCCGCCACGCGCCCCTTTTCCCCACCACACACACAGTGACACCTTTCAGTGGCTTATCCCGAGCTGTTACATTTCCAATTGGGATTTGCCACCTCAGTGTCCCCCAAACCCCTGTACTCCCAAGCTTTTAATCCTGCCCGGGA